AGCGGCGGCGCCCGCGGCGGCCCCGCGGCGCCCGCGCTCAACAACAGCCGCGCGGGGCGGCACGTGCGGCGCCTCGAGTTCAACCAGGCCATGGAGGACTTCAGCACCATGTTCCCGCGCATGGACTACGACATCATCGAGTGCGTGCTGCGCGCCAACCGCGGCGCCGTCGACGCCACCATCGACCAGCTGCTGCAGATGAGCCTGGACGGCGGCGACGCCGACGACAGCTCCGACTCGGAGGAGAGCATCCCCGCCGAGGTGAGCGCCGCGGGGCCCATCCCATCCTGTCCTGTCCCATCCCATCCTGCTAACAGCCACCATCCGATGGCCCCTCACGGGCTCCTCCTGGGCACCCAGATCCTGGAGCGGACGTTGGAGCCGGACAGCTCGGACGAGGAGCCGCCCCCCGTGTACTCCCCGCCCGTGCGGGAGCCGCCGGGCAGCCGAGGCCCATGTGCAGCACCCACCCCACCACCCAGGTGAGCCATGGAGCGTCCCGGAGTGCCAGCGGGGCGGGGGGCACAGCGGGAATGGGGGGGATGGCAGGAATGGGGGGACAGCAAAACTCATCCGTGGGAGCTGCCGAGACCTCTGTGCTCATCCCATAGGACAGAGGCGCCCGGCAGCACCCGGAGCCGCTACCGCAACTGGAACCCGCCGCTGCTGGGCGCGCTGCCCGACGACTTCCTGCGCATCCCGGCCCGGCCGCCCGCTGGCGCACAGGTGAGCTGCCCCAGCACGCTTCCTGGCGCTTCTCCGTGCGCTTCCCAGCATCCTTCCTGGTGCGCTTCCCGGCACGCTTCCCGTGGCCATGTGCTCTGTATGGGATTCTCCTACCCTCCAATGATTCCCAGTGAAAAAGTTGATCCACAGGTGGAAACCTGACCGAAACTTGTGTGTTCCGCGCAGGGCTCTGGTGAGGGGCGGCCGGCGGCACCGCGCGGCCCCGGCGCCCTGGAGCAGGAGCGGCGCTGGAAGCAGTACCTGGAGGACGAGCGCATCGCGCTCTTCCTGCAGAACGAGGAGTTCATGAAGGAGCTGCAGCGCAACCGCGACTTCCTGCTGGCCCTGGAGCGGGGTGAGCCTGGGCCGGCGCGCAGGGGCCGCGCGCTCCCCGGCCGCCCCGGTGCTCACCGCGCACT